CAGAGGTACACGGGACTTCCTACAGCAGAACGGTGTCAACATTATGCAGTGGCCAGCCTTTAGTCCTGATTTAAACCCAACTGAACATCTTTGGGATGAAATTCAGAGGAGACTGAATAATGTCATACCAAGGACGAACACATCCGATTTATTACGCCAGGCCTTTCTCAGAGCGTGGTTCCACGTGCCAATGGCCTTCATCAATCGATTGGTGTCCTCCATGCATAGACGCTGTGCTGGAGTTATTGCCGCTCGCGGTGGTCACACTAGATACTGAAGCTTATTATGTCCATTTCTGCACTGATTTGATTACAGTGCCTATCTAATTTTGAATTCGTACTGACGTTTATTTGGCTGCTGAGTATATTTAGAACTGTTTATAAAAAATACAGTCATGTTTTTGTTGTTTGTTGTTTTCAACAGACCCAATTGCTCCAAAACGCCTTTTAAAAAGGTTAATCCTTGATGAAGTAACAATTGTGATCATGCAATGGTTGCAACTTGCTGAACTTTCACGTGCTAAATATATATATGTTGCAGGTGAACACACGTTAGAGTATTGTTGCCCAAATGATGTATAACATCTTTGAGCGTCATTTAGACGTTGGTGTGATGGACAGGGCAGATAGTTCTATGGATAAACACTTTCGATGTTCGATGGAGATAAATCCACCTAGGGACTGTAAGTCCCCATGGTCCGTAGTATGGTGATCTACCTTCAGTTGTTGGCGATCTATAGCCTGTTTTTATATCGTATCGTATTGTATATTTAAAATGTTTTAAATCTAATTACTAGTTTTAAAAATATATCTGTGATAAACTAGTTGTATAAAATTACTGTCCTTCTTTGACAGTATTATAAATATAGTATTATAACCTGATATAGTCACGATATGGCTGAAAAACTGCTGATGTGACTTAAAAGTTTAACTCACTCATTTACCCACTCACTCTCTCAGTGGAGATGCTAACAACGTGATCAAGCAAATGTAATGTATAGTAATCTGAGTAAAGCATTTATGTAAATAAGTAAAGTAACGTTTGTACAGTAATTGTTCCGACTGATCATGTATATGATGTTGACACAATGGATAAGGTCATTTACAAACTGGGAATGGTGTTTACACAATAAAGATTAATGTTGACACACTGTAGAATTAACAAGGGAGAGATTAATGAGAAGACAGGTACCTAATATATGGTCCAAAGGGATCATAACGCCAGTACCGAAGTGTTCCAATATGGACCCAAAAGACCACTTGCATATCAAGGCATCACTCTAACAACCTCGATATATAAGCTGTAATGTAATGTTCTGAACTGGAGACTCCAGGTATGGACTGAAACCAACAATGTGCCCCATGACTCTCAGAATGGGTTCAGCAAACTAAAATAGAGTACAGACCATGTACAAACTCTTTCATCGATTTTGGAAACATGGAAACCTTGTTGCTTTTATTGATTTCAGAAAGGCATATGACTATGAACAGAACCATTTTATAGATCAGAATCTCGACAAGTGGAGTAGGAGGTAAAATGTTAATTGCTCTGCAGTCGCTATACAGAGACGCACAGTGTTGTGTGCGAGTGAATGGATTCAGAACCTCCTGGTTTGCAGTGAACCATGGGCTGAAACAAGGATGCCTCATGTCTCCACTGTTATTTAATATTGTCATTAATGATTTGTTACATAAGCTCAATAGCCTTGACCTCGGTGTAAATATAGACACTTTCAATATAGTAGCTTAGCATAATTACGCAGACGGTATTGCTCTGCTAGCGGAACGTGAAGCCGATCTTAATGCACTTTTAGATGTTTGGAATAATTGTTGTGGCATTAGTGAATTAGAAATAAATTCAGAAAGATAAGATACATGCTGGCGACAAGCAGAGGACAATTATTACCTTATAATTTCTAAAAAGAATGAAACCATTTAGCACTTTATATGTTAGACCTTTCATCTCATAACTTTATACTACAAGCGATAAAGACATCAGGGATCTGTTAGTCATGCAAAGGGTTGCTTAAAACATCCTTAAGACAGGAGACGATTGTACACATTGTTGTGGTAATGAGAGCTGTCAGAGGCCATTCTCTGTGCTTTCTGTGTAATTCTTTCCTCACATAATACACTTAGATCATCAAATTATACATTGCATATTGTGCTAGCTGAAAGCACAATTTTGCTTAACTGGTTTTAGTTTACTGTAAACAGACATGCATACCATGCATGAAAACAGGAAGTGAATAAAGCAGTCGTAAAGTAAGGATAAAGTGATAGCACTGATATTGAAAGAACGAAGTGTGCGTAAAAAAGAGTAGTCTTTGCTGCCCTTGAATGAAATAAATGAACTAAGTGTTTGAATTCCAGGTGGGCGATATCTGTACACATCAACAATATCTACAGGTTCATCACCAATATACACAGACTGTAGTACTGTTTTCCGGGACCTAAAGTATAGAACCCAATTTATCGACGGTACTATTCTCAATCTACGCTTACCACGAAAAATATACAAATGAAAAATCCTGAGAAAACAATAGAATATAAAACAAATAAAATAAACGATAGGAATGTCAAGCAAAATGTGAACAATGCATACAATTATCGACCACAAAGTCTGCAGTTGCAGCGTGCCAAGTGAGTGATTTTTGTTTTCATTCCAGCTATATGGTGGCGGTCTGTAAATAATCGATTTTGGACCAGACAATCCAGTGATCAACAGCATGAGCATCGATCTGTGCAACTGGGATGCGATGACACGTGTCAACCAAGTGAGCGAGCCAGACCACCGGATCCCGTTAGTCGCCTCTTACGACAATTAAAGGTTACTGAATACCAATTCTACCCCGGATCTTAACGGGTTGGAGCGTCCTGAATGGAGGTAGCATTCGATAGACATTTTTAGTTTCGTTGATATCAAGATGAGTAGAAAAGAGAAGTAAATTATTTCCTTTAAAGCCGCCAGGAGGCAGAACAAGGAGGCTTTTTCGGACTGAGAGTGGTAGTTTGGCTGTGTGATGACCGCGGTAATTTTGTTGAGCAAACGGCTGTTTCGTGTACGTCAGCATTGAAGAATGCTGATTCCGATCGGAAATGGAGCAAAGTGTCTATGATTGTAGGTGAGTTTGGAATGCTGATTTGTATGGGATAGATCTATTTTGTCCACTTTATACTGAACCATTAATTCGAATTTGACGAGGATTCTACGGTTATTAGTTTTGTTGTTATCATTGGTGGTCAGTAGTATCAGATTTTCTTTATCAAACTCAATTGCAATTGTCCATTTGATTATAGGTGTGTTTTGAATACTGATTTGTTTGGGATACATCTAAATATTTCACTTTATACTGGACTGTTAATTTGAATTTGCTGAGGATATATTGCCTGTGGATGAAATGACCTAGATAGATTGTTTTCTGGATGACAGAACTTGGAACGAGTTTGATGGACAGCAGTGGCAATGATCAATGTGTTTATTGCACCTGCTTCGTGAATTTTTGACATTTTTTGCCAGAGTTAGAGCAAACGTCATCCATTGTAAACCAAAAGTCTTTTGTGTTTTTTAATCTGATTGGTTGAAAAACGTGATCAAATGGTATTCGATTCCCGGAAATTCGCTGCGTATTAATACATACAAACATTGTTACGTTGTCAGCTGTGATGACGTCATTAAAATCATATTGTGACGTAAAGTCCGAATGACGTCACAAATGAGCAGTTCCAGATGCTACCCACACTCCGGCGCAGTGATGACTTAGCATAACATCACTGCCACAGGCTAATTTGCATATCACGTGACCGGACTTTTCTCGTTTGTTAAAAAAACGTGCATATTCATAAAAAGAAGAGACAGGCCTTACGCAAGCTTTTCGGCGCGCTCTTCACAATGTTTTACATTGTTACATATATATTCTTCCACAACTACGACAGTAAGGTTTGTGACAATACATATTTAGATATCAAACTGGCTGCATCGTTTGCTCTCCGTCGGCTTCGAGGACAGCACGTGGAGCCGTACAACTTATGTAAACAAAGGATCGCTACGCAAGTGTTACACGTTTTAGGATATTTTCTCAGTGAAACTAAACCATTCTATCAAAGATGTTTACTTAGATGTGTAGACTCGTCAAAATAAAAGAGTTAAGAAATAAGCTAAGTACATTTTATTGAATGGACTGAGTAAGATGTGACGAATCGTCACATCTTTCTGGCCTGTGACAGAGGTACTATGCTGGCTGGCCGCATGGAACTCTGGGTAGAAGAGTGGATGCCACCATGGGAGACAGCCGAAACGGCCGGCTGATGACATTTCACTGCAGTACCCGTACTCGATGTCAATGAGTGCAGACACAAAAACATGTGTGGACCTTTTTTAGGTTTACTTTTGTGTTTACAATGTTGATAAACATCATGTGTTGGCCAATTTCCGGGTGTTATTGAGTATTTGAAGCACGGGAATATACGCCGTCGATTCCAAATAAATTCCCGTGCTTCAAATACTCAATAACGACCGGAACTCGGTCAACACATGATGTTTATCTCCTAATTAACACACCTCTTACGACAGAAATAGGTTGCCGTATTCAATTCACCAGAATGGGTATGATCTGGTGTCGCGATATATAGCTGGAATATTGTCAAAATACAGGGTAAAAAAACAGTCTCACTCACTGTTTTTGTGAACATGTTCACGAAGCATTTGCACACTTATGTGTCTTGACACTTCAATATTCGTGTGTCTTGAAACTCCAACACGTGTGTATCTTGCTTTTTGTTTGTTTGTGGTTTGAAGTCGGACTCAGCAATATTCCAGCTTTCTGTAAATAATCGAATCTTGACCACACAATCGAGTGACACTTGCAAATGTCGATTACGATGTACATTATATGTGCTCAGCCATTGATGGAAACAGGGCGCTTTCTGAAATCTTTTACACTGATGAAAAAACAACATTCCAGAATACATTATCATAAATAATTGAAAACTCAAACTCAATTTATACAGAATATTTTAATCGAAGGGTTAGCCACTCTAACTTTTAATATTTGAATTGACAGGAATATATTGTTCAGCTTGAAACGGGCTAAAATTATAACTTGTCAGGTAACTTATGCAACAATGTTAATGTACATGACCAAATTAACAAGTGTATGAAGCTGTGCTGCGCTTGAACTGTTTGATCTGATAATATCAATATCTAACAACCACATACATCACTAAATAGAAGCAGAGAACATGTCATCTGTAGCGGGACGCCTCCATTCGCGGCTGCCTGAATTACATGTAACGGCTGTCTACAGCATCGACACGGCCCTCCCGTAGATCGTCGTCGACGACCTCCGCACTTCTCCCCAATGCTCTGCAAGAAGATGATTGGACCTTTGCTGTCTGTGTCGAGGTTGGTGACTTTGAAACGTTCATAAAGGGGAATCAACACTTCTGCCTCTGAGGGGAATACTGAAAATTGCACAATATCAGCGCCAAACGTAACTCCCTTCAGGCGAATGAGAGTGCCTGTGCTTCCGCGGAAATTCTCGGCGACAGAATATTCAGATGAGGTCGATGTATATCCAGGAAAGCGCATCTCGGTTCCGTTGTTAATGGAATATTTCTTCTTGTCACCCCTATACAGGTATTCCGGAAGAGTTTGCCTCAGGCGTAGCTTTTCAATAGCGTTAATAAGGAGGTAATGAAAGACCTGAAATGACTTGTCGTATTTCGCGATGTCGCCCTCTCTCAGTATTCTGTTGAATTCAGCGTGCACAGAGGTTGCAGTATAGATCATTACTGCCAGAGTTTCTTCTTCCGTCAAGCCTTGGGACTTCCCCGCCTTAAAGGCCGCATCCCTTTTGGAGGAAGTGTCTTTGTATGCAGTATTAAAGCGGTCATTCGTCTTGACCACGTCCATCAAGGACTCATTCAGTTTCTCAAACTCGTCTTTAGTAATAGAAGCATATATACTGTTCTTTCTTGCGGCTAACTCATAGGTTGCTCCCTGGAAAAAAGATAGGACTTGTGTAAAAGCATACAGAGAGTATCTTCACGTAAATAGGTAAAAGGGTATGCTAGCATCATACTCCCTGGTATGCTAAAAGCATCATACTCCCTGTGTACATTACTTTATATTTTGCTTAATGAAGGTAAAAGTGTATACTAACATCATCATACTCCTGTGTACTTTATATTTTGCTTAATGAAGGTAAAAGTGTATACTTTACTTTATTGTACTTTATATTTTGCTTAATGATGGGTTCCCTTTTAATTTAAAGATTGCATTATTTTGCTTAATGAAGGTAAAAGTGCATACTTCCTGTGTACTTTATATTTTGCTTAATGAATTGTAATCAGAAACTCCTTCAGGGGCCATACTTCCTGTGTACCTCTGCGTTTATATTTTGCATGTGGCATACTGTGTACCTTAATGAAGGTAAAAGTGTATACTAAAAATAACAAAGAGCAAACTAATATAATAAAAGCTTCCTTGTACTTTATATTTTTCAGTAGACTCCCTGTGTACTTTTATATTTTGCTTAATGAAGGTAAAAGTGTACTAGCATCATACTTCCTGTGTACTTTATATTTTGCTTAATGAAGGTAAACGTGTATACTATCATCATACTTCTTTATACAGGTAAAAGTCGTGATTCTGAATCGGATTTAAAGGTGAAACGTTGGAGCTAAAGTGTAAGATCAGCGTTATATTTTGCTTAATGAAGGTAAAAGGTTTGTTCATGTGCGATTCATTTTGCTTAATTTGTATCCTAAGATCAGATATTCTTTATATCTGATCATTGCATATGTCTTGCGACATGTGGCACCCATTTGATTATTTGATTCAGTATGCTGCGTCTAACTCGATGACTCACACTTCACAGAGTCGTGATTCTGAATCGGATTTTACGTTTTTCGGTTTGTTTGTGCTCTGATCTCCTATTTGATTATTTGAATATTAAAGTAAAGATGATCTAAGTATGACAGGTGCATTGTGTTGGCCGGAAGGGGAACATTCCATTGTCACGTCACCACGTACCATTTCTTATAGGAAATTCAATAGCTATGCTTTGTTTGCGCTTCACGAAGGGTCGGCCTCTTTCACCCCACCTTGACCCTTCTGACATGTGACACCTTGCATACATTTACATGTGATTGTGTGAGGAAGGAAATCCAAAACCCTCCCCGATATAGAAGAAAGTAAAGGTTATCGGAAGAAGCCCAGCCTCCCGTTCGTACGACATAGGACACGTGACCCGGAAATTATATGACTCCTGGTGGCTGGGCGGCTTTAAACTTATCAATTGTCTATTACTCACGGAATCACTAAGGAACATTAATACTCACATCAGCCATGAGTAGATACTGTCCCCCTGAAATAATGGATGTAAATATGGTAAGTAAGAAGGGTTGAAGTGAAATGGCATGGACGCCACTTTGAACAATATTAGAGTTATAAAATATCGGCAAATGATGTAAAAACAATATAACCCTACATCAATACATGTTTCCCACGGTGGCAAAACCCACGCGCATGGCCATGGTATTGTTATACGTGTGAGTTTAGTTTTACGCCGCCTTTAGCAATATTCCAGCAATATCATGACGGGGCACAACAGAAATGGGCTTCACACATTGTACCCATGTGGGGAATCGATCACTGGTCTTCGGCGTTACGAGCGAACGATTTAACCATCAGGCTACCCCACCGCCACCTATTTCCGTGAATTACTAGTAGATGACCGGGCCGCAAGAGGATAAGAGTGTGGCGTCTGTATTGCGCATGGGCCATACTAATGTTTTCTGTATCATTCCAAGTTTAGTATATGTGCTGCATGGAGAAGGGCAGATATCATAACATTCAAAAAGGAAAGAGATTGAGTAAATTTTGTACATTAAATGTAATTATCTTTTTGCAGATATGCCCTTACTACACTGATATAAGCACAAACTATCTACCGCAATATTACCCTACATATCCCAATACGGGTAAATTTAATTTGTTTAATGAACACTTATAATAGAAGCAACATTCGCAAACTTGGTATGTATATCCACCACGCTTTTGTACATAAAAACCAAAAACGTCTGCAAACATTGTGATTGTATGCCATTATTGCTATCTGACGCTGTACTAAAGGCCTCTTCAGTTCTGGATTAAAAGAGATTTGACTTTAGTATGGCTACACATAGCGAGTAATGGGAAAGATACAATGCCACAGTCAAAATGATATAACCATACTCTGATGAATTCAGGATGACTGAAGTGTAATGTATGTTCAAAGTTTCAAGGATTTATTGTCAAGAGCACATGGCAAGAATGTTGTGGAGGCTGCCATCTTGTTTCCCTCCAAAACATGAACGTGTATAAAATTGGGAATGGTACACCGGAAATTTGACCTGAAGGTCTACTATTCTTCATAACAATGATTGGATCATCCTCTCTGTGATACATAACAAGTAAAGCATCCAAAGATAACTTAGTAGTGAGTGAGTGAGTTAATATTAAACGTCACATCGGCAATATGTCAGCCATATCGTGACGAGAACAATTTAATTTATATCAATTGAGAAAATAAAAACCTGTCAACAAAGGACAGTGAAACTACTAGAATATCACAGCTCTTAATTTAAAACTAGTACGCTATCATAAAAAAATATATCACTATAGACAACAATGCAATATAAAACCGGGCTATAGATCACCAGCAACTGAAGGGTGATCACCAAACTAAAGACCATGGTGTACTTTGGCTACCTGCATGGACCCTAGCCCTTCAGCCACTGGTGATTGTAGTGAAATTTAGCCATTATTTAAATCAGGGCAATCTAACTGCTACTCGGTACAGAGCCGAAATCCTTAGATTTACATATGGTACCATTGATGAGTTATAGTATGACCAAATTATTGAAATTTTAGGAATATGTTTAATTGGATTCTAGTATAAACAACCTTGACCAGCTATCAAGTGCTTGGTTTCATTCAAGAGAGACAACTCCGTTAATCCTTTTCATTAGTTTGTGAAGAGTTATCCCCTTTGTTTACTTGCTAGCAGACGACATTTTCAGTGATCCTCAGTATGGATGATTTAGAGAAGAGGAAGTTGATTTTAGAGTATTATAACACAAGGACATCAGATCAGCTAAAGTGATTTCAAGTAGAACAGGCATCCCTTTGTCCACTGTTTATCGTGTTTTGATAAAAATATTGCAAAATGGATATGGCATTGAGCACCAGGGAGGCGCAGGTAGGCCCAGGAAATTGATTGTCGGTGACAGGAGGCGGCTTAGTATTCTTGTTTCTAAAAGCAAACGAAGGAGTTGAGAAAACTTAAGGCTGGATATGATTGATAGAGGGATTGTGGCTGTCTGTAAGGAGGCAATTAGAACTGAGCTGCATGCAATGGGTTGGCAGAAAAGTCCAGGAATTCCATCACCGATCATGAAACTTGAACAAAAGGAACGAAGGTTGAACTGGTGCTTACAACATAGAAATTGTAACTGGGACAATGTGATTTTCTCAGATGAAAGGTCTGTTTGGCTGTTTCCTAATACACTGAAATTCTGGACCAAACAAACTGAAAAACCTTTGTATCAGCGCCAAAAGTACAGTCCGAAATTTAACGTGGGGTGGCATATATCTGTGTTAGGGGCAACGCCCTCTGTGTATTTGAAGGAATATGAACAGTGAGCGGTACACAGATATTCTCGAGGGACATTTACTTCCATCTGCTCACGTGTTCTATGGAAATTGTTGGATTTTCCAGCAGGACAACGACCCAAAACATCGTTCAAACCATTCACAGGCCTGGTTTCGGACCCAAAAAATGACATTGTTAGATTGGCCAAGCTATAGCCCTGACCTAAATCCAATAGAAAATGTTTGGGGACTTATGAAGGAAAGTGTCAATAAGAAACATCTGACAACTATTGCTGAAATGAAAGAAGAGGTGGTCCAATATTGGGACAACATGGACCACGACTTTCTAACTTCTTTGATCAGTAGTATGCCCCGCCGCATTGCAGTGACTTGACAAAATACTAACTGTTCACCTGCCTTTGAATCTGGAGTTATGTTCTGCTACTATTCACATTTAATACGTGAGTAATGAGTGAATTTTTCTTTTTTAAATTAGAATCTTTAAATTCTCAATAATTTCTGGTTGAACTGTATATTATGTTACAGTCAATGTGTAAAATAAATTGCCTGATATTTTCAGTCAGTTCACAAATTGGACAGATTGACTGAAAGTCAGTTTCAATGGTTTTAATGAGTATGAAGTGAAACAATATATTTATTGAGTCATGTTTATCCTCCTCATCCATTGTGATTACAGCTAATTGTTATAGCTCTCCCACGGGGTCATATCGGTGGATCATGATCATTTGAGTCAGGTTTGCATTCTTCGACTTCTGATCTCCAAGCGCGCAACTGAAGTAGCCTGGCAAATACATTTTTTCTATGTTTAGTGCACCCAGATTCTGCAGAGTGACAACGGAAGTTTGTTCACCGCAAAGGTCATCACTGAACTCAAGTCAATGTAGCCTTATTTGTTGATGGTGCATGGCTAACCTCGGCATTGAAAGGAGACATCTAAGACATACTGGCTGCATGGATCGGCATCAAGCAGGCCCCATTCAAGGCGCGTTTTGGTACTAATGCCAAAGTTGGTCTTCGAGCAACAACTCTTCCAAATGAGAGACTTTTGACTGAACATGACCTGCAAGCAACCTATCAGTCAAGCAGGTGTCAAATGCGACAGCAGGTACCACGAAAGCCTCACTTAAGCAAACAAAATGTGAGCAAACAATGTCAACCAATGCTCTTTTACATTTTGAAATATTGTTGAAATATTGTTTTAGGTCAATTAAGATGACATATCGTTCATGACGCGTGATAGCTGCTCCCCGACACCGTAGGCGGTGCCTCGGAGCGTTGAGGGAGTAGCGCATCGTACAGTCTCACGCTAGGTGTAGTTCGAGAAACGTTACAGTCGGGCGCGTTCTCCCGTGTCGGTGAGGCCCTTTAGGGTGAACCGATTCTGAGGTCAGTTCTTCTTCAATTTTCATAGTGCCTCTCATTTGACATGCTTTCGATGCAGTAGATGTTTTAGTCTCTAAAAAATTCAAAGGTTTTTTTTTCTGATGGTCCTTAATGGCTTCTATCTCTTTCTTTGCCATAGTCTGTTTCTTCGTCACGTGCACTTATGAACTCCATACTATCCTGCAAGGCTTCATTGTTTTCCATTCTATTTCTCACGTCTAATAGTGTGGTGTTTATTCCATAACAGTTTTATCGAGAATATCCAGTTTACCAAGTTTAACTATCATAAAGTTCACTTAGACCTTATATATTTATGATTTGTACGTGGCGAGTAGTCGACCCCCGATACATACTCTTAGCAGGTGTCGATGTAAACATTTGCGTTGTTAGGGGTGAACTTGTACGGGTGATATCGGACATAATATCCACCCTGAGGATGCTATGATGCTTTGAGGTATCCGCATTTACTTTCAAACTTTCTGACACAACAGCAGGACGATCGCTAGTATCTAAACACGAATCCATTGTCACGGTTTCCGTACTTTGTTTAAACTGTGTAGAAGGTCTGTTCACAGCTTGGCTCTTTAGAGCCGTATTTGAACGATTTTTCTTCATCAACGTCAATATACTAGTTCTATGTTACCTTAGTATAGTTCGTACACATTTATAGGTTCCAGTCTCAACTCGATAACAAGTACTCTCCACATATTGATTGCCTATCGTTCAATACAATTATATATTGTCTATAGCTCTGTAACCAAATGGAAAGTTACGAAAAACCTATTTCTTTGACAACGTCAATATAAACGTAGATTTGATAGGGAGTGAAACACGTGTCAGCCTATCCAATCCTGAACGGAACATCACTGTATTTTTCTCAAGCCAAGTGCATGTGATGTACAACCACGAATTTGTACACTTCTTCATTAATAATATAGAAATGCAAATAAAACTAGAGCACGTACTACAAAACAATCAAGTATAATGAATCGATCAGTAAACCTGTACAACCATTTTTGTGTAAAATGTCATTCTATATCATATAAGGAAAAGGGAATTGGCGATAAAGATCCCCCTTGTTTGACTCCAACATTACAATCACATTTCAAACTTCAAACACATTCGCTTTGATACCATCGTGTATTAATCTCATAATACGTAAGCATTTCCCACATATGTTTAACGAACAACGAGCGACGCCAAGCAACGTTCTGCAATGATATTAAAGTGTATTTATTATACCTGAAGTAAACATGATCACCATACTAGGTATATCACCATTCTACATTCAGATGAATGTAGAGGAAGGCTGAATTTTTACCTGAGCGTCTCCGGCTTGTCTATCAGGGTGTTTACTGCACCAACAACCTGTAGCTATCATCCAAATGAGCTTCCAAGGAAAGGCTTTTCATTTCCCGGAAATTCAGACTCCAGGGGAATTTTATTATACAAAGGCATGTCGTGCAAAAATAGCATCCACGTGTGATTACAACCGGGTTCGTAGTACAATGTACAGTGCTCTGACCCCTTTTGGAGACAATGTAGATCCTGATGACAAACGCTGCTCTATTGTGCAAAAGGCGCTGAAGCTTTTCAAGGGGCTCATGTCGAAATGACTTTTGTTATCGAAACTAATATATCTGAGTCATTGACATATCTTCTATAATGTGTTTGGTGATGGATTTATTGTTGGCTGGACTATTGGATGGATGGACGGACCGTTGTAGAAATAGATGGACGGAATGACGGATGGGTGGATGGACTGGTGTATGGAAGGATGGATGGATGGATGGTTGGGTTCACTGACGGATGGACGGGTTGTTGGGTGGATGGATGGATGGATTGGTGGACAGTTGGACGGATGCTTTCTGAAAAGCAGTCTGTTGCAATCAACCGTTACAGAGAACTTGCAGTCGTGATGTAGGGAACAAGTTAACTCAGGCATAAACACTAAAGGAACAATGTGGCGTGACGGGTGACGAGGCATGTGTGTATGGCTGCACTCTCTGCGTTACGGACATGCTGACATGGCAAGTCATGCTAGCGCTATTCAGGAACAATTATTACGCCGCACGGAAATCAGGGCAAGCTGTTTGTTTATCGTATTCCCTACACGGACTCAATTACGAAGAGACTTTTGTTACAGTGGCTGAAAATGTTACTGATAAATTGCTGACACATATTCCTCAGGAAAAGCTACTTCAACAGAAAACAAATATCATCCTTCATTCACTTCATTCGTCCTTCATTCACTGTTTGTGTATCTCCGTTTTGTCATACTTTTGGTTTAAGTGTGTATATATGACTGCTAAAAATAAGATATTTTGCAAATATTTATCACTTCTTAATTCATATAAAAACACAGATGTTGTCGGTCAGCAGGAATTACTTTTCAGCTTCATACATATGCATCGCTTTAATATGTGCTAGATCAATAACTTACAATGTACCGGTAGTGACGGGTGTACAGGTTACTGGTGTATGGAGGATAACAGTCCATAGTGACGCGGCCGCAGGTTATTGGTTTATGGAGGGATACTGTTTACTGGTAGTGACGGGGGTATAGGTTGCTCGTGTACTGGTGTATGGAAATATACTTTTTATTAGTAGTGACGGGTGTACAGGTTACTGGTTTATGGAGGGATACTGTTTACTGGTAGTGACGGGGGTATAGGTTGCTCGTGTACTGGTGTATGGAAATATACTTTTTATTAGTAGTGACGGGTGTACAGGTTACTGGTTTATGGAGGGATACTGTTCACTGGTAGTGACGAGGGTATAGGTTGCTCGTGTACTGGTGTATGGAAATATACTTTTATTAGTAGTGACGGGTGTACAGGTTACTGGTTTATGGAGGGATACTGTTTACTGGTAGAGACGAGGGTATAGGTTGCTCGTGTACTGGTGTATGGAAATATACTTTTTATTAGTAGTGACGGGTGTGCAGGTTACTGGTTTATGGAGGGATACTGTTTACTGGTAGTGACGAGGGTACAGGTTACTTGTGTATGGAGGGATACTGTTTACTGGTAGTGACGAGGGTATAGGTTACTGTTTATTAGTGTACTGGCAGGTATGTACTGGTGTATGGAAATATACTTTTATTAGTAGTGACGGGTGTGCAGGTTACTGGTTTATGGAGGGATACTGTTTACTGGTAGTGACGAGGGTACAGGTTGCTCGTGTACTGGTGTATGGAGAGGTACTGTTTACTGGTAGTGACGAGGGTACAGGTTACTGGTGTATGGAGGGGTACTGTTTACTTAGTAGTGACGAGGGTACAGGTTACTTCCAGCTATATGGCGGCTGTCTGTAAGCAATCGAATATGGACCAGTCAATCCAGTGATAACAATCACGAGCATCGATCCACTCCATCAGTCGCTTCTTACGACAAGCATGTGTACCTGAAGACCTATTTAACCCAGATCTGCTGCTCATATCGGCTGGGAGGTACTTGTAAGTCATAGCATGTGTCAGGATGTTCATCCGTTAGGAGTTGATGGAATTATGGCATCAGGGCATAGATATTTATGGGCAACAACTAATACGAGAAACACTTAACGCTATTTATTACAAGCTATCATAACGGAAGTGTAAGACAGCAAAAGAAATATAGTCATACTGAATATGTATGGAAGCAACAAAGGTAAGATGAAAACAATATTCAAAACGCATGGAAGTGAAAGTGAACAACAACATGAAAACAACAAACAATATTGGAAAATGAAATAGTAAAATCTGCTCATGTTCATTTCCAAAATTAACATGTACCCTATGGTTTCACTGAAGGAGAAATACAACAAAACGAATGCGGATATTATGTAGCGTCCACTGTAGGGCCAGAATATATGACATTTAGACATGCAGCCAAGAAAGTGTTTTACTCTGTTACTCAGCTATTTTCTATTTAGAACCGGGCTCTGATTGATCTCACATTTCCTGGTGGTAATACCGGCGTTCACGTTATATTTGAGATTGCCTAGGAATCAGAAAAGGCATGACTTGTGTAACACAGACACATATTTGAAATAATGTGGCTCACCTAATGTTTATTTTACAGTTGATGATATGCGTTTCACCATTCTTTGCTGGAAAATACAAAACACATAGCCATTCATTTTCTTCTGCATGTTTAAAAGTATCTTATAAAGTAGAAAACAATGCACGAAGGATTGCCTCCAAAGTACTTGGACATGCATATGGCATTCCGCCAGTCTCCACATATACCCTTCTGAATAACCATTAACACACGTAGCCATATTAGAACTGGTGACATGTCCGTTACTGGTGTAACTTAAAAAGGATTTAGTTTCTGGATGTTTGTGCGCACATGTGTCCCGTTAAGACACAAGAAATGTGATCAACGTGTGTTTTACTTGGAATTACACATTTTCGGCAAAGTACTCTGTTTGGGTTGAGGGATTCGATTCCACACTCTTAGGGTCATGCACCTAACAGCCAGCACACAAAGTCAAGGGAGAACGTGTAATTCCAAACATATGTTGCATTTGACCATATATTACATTGCATTCAAGAACATGATTGTTTCTCAAAACAGGTCATTGATCATTCCAAGACTCTGGGGAATGTAAAGCTGTTGTTTTATATCAGATTGGCGTAGACGTTGGAAGCACGGTTGTATTCCTTCACCATCTTGTAGCACAATTTGTACTGATCCTGCAAATAACATACATCGTCAGTCATCTAAGAGCGATCATTAGTATGTATTACAAACCTTATTGTAGCATATAATACGCTATTGCCATCCTGTTTGAATGTGGACCATGGTTTATATTATGTATTTAAGGTTTATTATTGTGACGGTGATTTCGCACTCAATATCAGTATCCGCAGCATTTAGCAACATTCCAGCAATATCACGGCGGGGGACACCAGAAATGGGCTTCACACTTTGTACCCATGGTAAGGAGATCGAACCTGGCTCTTCGGCGTGATGCGTTAACGGATATTTTGAATTTGAGAGAATAAATTAGAAGTGCTAATTAAAATCTAAAATTCATATGCTTGATATGTTTCATTGATCCATTTTGAAATCCACAATGTCAACTGCCAAACCGATTCTTATCTATACCTATCAACGCCTAAAATGAAACAGCCAATGTACTCACAAAGGAATGTATAAACTGTGGTCTGACACGCTGCAGTTCCTGATGGTGAGGAAGATGTCCACGTCTCTGTCCAGCCTCCAGTCTGCTGATGATGTTCAGGGCACTGCAGAACACGCCGCTCACACCCTTTGGCGTCGCTGGTGAACAGAAACAACCACGTCATCAAGTTGCATATCACACAACATCAAACATTCAAACATCCATTGAACCATATTCATTTAGCATGTTTCGATTTGAGGACTCTTAGTTCACTATGGTTACATCGTTGTTTCAAGTAATTTTGCTTATTTACACCATACTCATGGCAATGCTTCACAACTAACAGTCCTAACTTTAAAGCTGACTTAAAACCGGCATACTACCTTGATGCTGCCAGAGACTAACTTGGGTTTTATCAACACTTTCCTACATTGCGCATGTCAGGTTATTTTGAATCTAGAATCATGTTCTTTGACAGAGTTTATTATCCGTCAACACACCACAGTTGTTTTCGTTGTGGTCCTACGACTTGTGATGACATTGGACCACGTTTTGGATTAACCATTTTGATAAGCAAATTTAATCTTATCATGGTTCCTAACCAGAATGAAACTAATGAGATTACATCACACAAAGGGGCAATATGTCTGCAAAACACACATTTACTTCACACAATAATGCTCTACTAGGCAAAGGAGTTGGGGTGGTTTGGCCTCTGAGTATTACGGTGTGCCACTGTAAACGGCGATCGAAAGGAGATCGTAACGCCCATACCATAACATAGATCCTAGCGCTAAAGTAGCTTCATTACAACGACACCATTAACTTTACTACTGTCAAACGAGTCGTGCGAGAACATATATATCACCAGCACAAAATACGCTTTGACGAATTTCGGAGAAAACCTTCATTTCATTACGTGTATTAACAGGTGATGGGTGAGCGTACATATCTAGGTCGCTCTCAGTGGAATATCGACGACGGAGGGACATGCATTCCATGTACATGTATATTTCCATAACTCATTTGTATATTTTGTTATTGTAATGCTCACTGAACGAAAATGCATACATGCAGTGGACGAGGATCTTATGGTCACCAGAGCTGTTGATTCATGTCCACCACGTTGATGATCTCCAAGAGGAAGCATCATTGGACACCATGTCCAGTGACCGGAGACAGAACACTGTGACTGACCGTTTGCTGTCCTGAACAGTGACAAAAGTCAGGTGTATACTTCATTAAGGAAAATCGCCATTTCAAATAACCATATGCCGAAATCGCGATTTTTTTTTCAGTAGCAAAGTATTCATATACCAATTCATGTGTCAATAATAACATCATTATGTACAGTCACAATCACATGTCATAGGAATGATTATATCTTAGCAGAACGTTATATGCAATTAATCACAACACAGGCAATACGATCATATCTTACGTTAACTGACTGCTTGGAAACCATGAATGAAAAACCGACCTCCTTAACATTTCCTCAAGCTTCATTTTTCTCGGTGTAGAATGCTCCTTTTGAATTGGTTTCCATGTGTGCTACACTGGAATGGTCCAGTCGCAGCATTTGCTGTCTTTAAGGGTACATCTTTCTTGTCTCCTGATAAAACAAATGTTTGAGTGATATTAATCGTTTGAGTGAACATAAATGGCAATTCAATACTCCTTAAAGAAACATGGCATGTCATTACACCCTAACATGATTTCATACCTGAATGTAGAAACGTACAAAACAATATCAATAATATTTACCTTGGAGGCGTCCGACAGACAACTGTGAAGCAATCATGGTAGTAATAACTAGTCTCCAGAAGTCCACCAACAGTGTCTGGCAGTGGAGTCTGGGTGACTATCATAGGACGATGGTCGAAGGGTGGGACTTAAACATGCCGAACAAACAGATTATAAACAAAAAGTTCCTGTGAGCCAAACCGCAATGGTGATGCAGTTTTGATATTGGCATGATGTAGTTTTGTTCTCTCAGTCTTGATTGTTCAACGTCACATGGCAAAAGAAAGCTAAATGTGGTAGAGTTAACTGAATGCTTGGCATTCCTTGTGATCATGTATCTTAACATTACATCTTACAACTGCTAACAAACATACGTCGACAGAAACACTGCATTGATGTAGTCATTCCGACCCGGAACGGGGAGTACACAGGTAGGTCTGGACCTGTTTCGCCAACAATACATGGCGTGGTGCTTCATTATCACGTTGAACGGTTCCTTAAGGAACCCACAACCATAACCGATCATAATTGATCAGTGCTGTTTTACTCGCAGTTTTAAAGAACACTTGATTAACGCTGATACAACAATAGGACATCAACTCAATAAATTCAGGTCATGGAATAACTTATATCAAGAGCATGACATCTTGAGAGCGAGGTATCTATCTTCAAATTTGGAATTTTAATTTGGTGTTTTATGCCGAAATATTAACGGTAGCAAAGCATTGATGTGTCTCTCGAGAAATTTTTTCCTTCATGTGAAGTAGATTAAGAAGATGAATGTAACTCTTTGTTGATATGCCCTCAGCTTATACAGAACTTCGAGATGTTGCTTACTTAAACCATTTAAGTACACCATGGTATCTTTTGCTTAATAACCTGAACAAAATAAACTGGAACACAATCAGTGTAATTGTATTTCTAACGAATATGAAATGAGAGTAACACGTTTTAACAAATAATAGAAAAATGATGTTCTAAAATCGAATCTGTGTCCAGATATAATAAACTTAACAAGTAGATGCTGTACATTTCTTGAGGGGTTGTTTCCATTTGACGAGCTACATGTAATCAACTAAGTCTGGCAGTGCCCTTATAGTTTTGACAATAATGCCTTCACACCAGTTTGGAGCATGTATATGCATATGGACCTGTGGCATTCATACACGTAATGTAGTAAACTTATTTGATCAATGATGTTTGTTCGTGTTGAAAGATCAGTTGTGTTAGAATGTACATATTTCAAAGAAGTTTATACCTGGGAGAACATACTGGCTCCTATTTTTGATTGAGTTCTTCCGAAGCAGTGCCTCTGATGTCAAATCTTCTTTGAGTCTGTGAAATTTGTTCTTGGAGCATCTGGAAGAAATATAACACGTGATTTGTGTTACGGCATGGTTGGTATGTTTTGATTGCCTCACGCAACTGTTGTTCCTTACAAAAATGAATAAAGCAATCAACTCGACAATAAGTTTCAAAGGAAAGGCAGAACAACTATATATCAACATTCACATACTTTGAAACTGTTCTCTCAGCATGTCCTCTTGAGGCTGTTTGAGAACGTCTCGCCAACACCAAATGTTTTGGTCAAACTCAGACGAGGTAGAGTGTTCCTTGGCTGCTTGAGAGCCCTCCCAAAGGAACTACGTCAGCCGCACAGAAACACATACTGGCTCTGCAACCAACCATATGACAATACCATGAATAAGACTTTATAGATACTGACCAAAACACAAAATATCCAGGAGCTAACTCGTCAGAATGCAGATCTTAACCAGCGCGCTATCTTTTAAAAAGACCTCATACTCCAAAAGAAGATGTAATATGATTTTTATGTATGCTTAGCAGAGACTCTTCATCGGAATCAGCCGAAAACATTTAGAATTTTGAAGCATTCTGCAATCTAAACTAATATAATGGTTAGGGATGTGAAGTGAAATATTCTCACACTCACTCAGAAAGCACTCACCAGTGTCTGAGACCATGTTTCATCCTGTTCTGCCTCATGTACTTTGCCGACACATGAACACGTTGACGTTGTGCTTCACTCTCAGCTTCGTCCATCAGGTGTCCATAGGGCAATAGATATACGCCCTGTTCGACTCAACCTGTGCTGCTGCCAAGCAAAACAAAAATCACTGAATCTCATTTTCGTAAATAATTACCACAATCAAGTTAACTCTGAGGCAACCTCCGTTTCAGCCATTCCATTGTCACAAGCGTCTTTGTTGGCGTCAAAGTAAATGATCGTCCACCCGCGATGTAATACAACGAGGTTCTTACTAAGTGGCAAGATACACCATTTGGTAATTGCGCCAACAGGTACTGTTATGGCATACGCATCCTATAATGGCATACGCATCCTATAATGCCATAAGGACTTGTTGCTTCTGACACCAAAGAGTTCACCTACGCAGCCGGCTAATACGGCTACACCAGTACTAAATGAGACATTCTGCTTCTAAGAAAACAGAGGTGATACAAATATGTGCTAGGTTATGTTACGTTGTATGTTGACTTCGCCAGGGTATTGTGTACATGGAACAAAAATGCATTCCACCTCCAGGGCATACACCTGACAAGTTTTAATTGCGCAGAATCGGTAGAATACAAACATTTGTCCACTGGTTCATTCATTGTAAAATATGTTCATGTGAACATTGTTCATCAGGGCCCCTGTTACCTGTAGTGCAATTCACCATGGTCCCCTGTCCATGTCCCCATGTTTGACCAGTCTCCAGAAGAAGTTGACGAGGGCAGGAGCAGAAGGAACACCATGGTCCAGAGCCAAAGATATTAGTGAAGTGGTAGTGCGTCACCAGTCTTCCTACGGTACCCTTCTGTAAGACCAAGGCTAAAACGTTCTATCTGTAGAATGTCATAATGTTAAACCACTTAGTCGGAATGTTACCCCTGTACATATTAGTTGACACGTGTGGTTAAAGATCTGGTAACACACAATGCCTGATAGTATGTATTCTTTACATGTTCTACAGAGACTGTATATACTTATGTTGTTCTTGTACAACGAAAGTGGTGACTGTGTAGTCAGCCCCTATGCTCACAGTTTTGTTTGTCAACCTTTATAGCATCCGTAGGTTTCAGATTTGCTTTCATCGGGCCAGTATCTTTCCACACTTTTCTAATGCAATATACAAAAGGGTTCCATTGTAGTATAAATTTTATGATACATGAAGGTCATGTTAATGTAATCAAGGGCACAATAAATTATGTTCTTTTGAAGCACATCCTACCTTGTTCACCTCCATCGCTTCGTCAGCATGACTATCTGTGTGACGTCCTCCACCCGCACACCATCCGCCAAGAAGTCCAGTGATTGTCCGTCTGGTCTATGGGTCCTTGATGGAACACAGTACTAATTAAGAACCTCTTCTCAAGAAAAGACGACAGCCATTCACTTCCCGTTTACTTATACCATATATCACGGCTGAATAAAATTAAAGCACAATAATCAGCGTTTAAAATTCCCGCATGCCCATTAAGTCCGAACGGTCTATGTTTATCTCGGACGGTCAAACCTCAAAAGTAGCCTGTCCGGTGGCCCTGTAAGATATTTTCTGGGTCTTGATTAGGTTTAGTTTGGTAAAACAGGCCATGCAATTCAGGGCTTAATTGCCACAATACATGCAGCAAAAGTATTCAGAAACTTGACATTTTTATTTTTTTATATTATTTTGAAAACCGAGGACGAGGCAAGTTTGTATCCGGATCAGTAATTTTAAAGTTACCAACCGGCTGTCTGGCTTGGAATTTGGGAGTTTTCAACACTGCAAATGAAATGTAAGTATATATAAACATATAGCACGTACCTTGTGTTTGCTATATACTTTGCGAGTATCATCATATCCTCGCTAAAAGACATACTTATTTTACTTTTTATTCAAATAAGTAAAAAGATTTTATAAATGTAATTATGTGTCACCTTTATTTTCCAAAATTCACAGTAAGCTACATCAAATTGATAATTGGATATTTGATCTAGTTGACCTTTACCCTACTCATACCATGATGTAATTGGCATTAATGTGAATCTTCCATCCGTCTTAAGCACAACCCTCAAAGAATCATCATCTGATTGAAGATAAAAATCAAAATATTTGAGGCATACTCTGGATTGTTTCAAATGGATTCTTACTTGGTGAAACGTTAAAACGAATTCTGCAAAAGTGAGATCTGTTTTACAACCATAAGCAAATTCGACTCCTTGGCGGACCGATGATGATAGACTGGGCGCAGTGGACTTTAAACAAATTAGGATATGTTCCGATAGGAAACAAGAACCCCTGAAGTACAATTGGGTAATCAAGTGATACTGATCAGTATCTCGCCCATATGGAAGGTAACACGTACTTTTGATCCCTATTTTACAGTATGAACAGTATGATGTAATGTGGGTCAGCCTATTTCATTATGTTAATGACAGACAGTCACCGAATACAAGTATTTATCCTGAAAAATATTAGATCAATGTCTCATTGCTTATCACCAAAGCATTTGCTCTGCTTTTTATTATTCAAATCCCTTTTTATTCAATAATTTTAGCCTCTGAATCCTGCGATATTGAATTAATTAGGGCGTACGAAGAATACTGATTAAGTAAATGATAAAAGGAAAATAGACCAACCGTATAATTACCGATGTTTGTTTATAATAATGTCTAGCTTTATGGCGGCGGTCTGAAACTAAACGAGTCTTGACCACATAATCCAGTGCGATTGACATCATGAGCATCAACCTGCACAATTGAGATACGATGACGTATCCCAATAACCAAGCGGGCTCGTCCATTCGATCCTGTTAGTGCCTTACGACAAGTATGGTATTGTGAAGATCGATTCGACCCGGATCTTCACTTGTTGTATTGTTAATTTGTTTATGCTTTGAAGTAAAACACAGCGTAACAACCACATACTTACACGCATACAGAGCAAGGAAACGGTTCTTCGGTTTGTTGTTAGGTTTTATAGCGGCTTCATGTGGATGTCTTGCACCATATGGGATCATCTGCATCACATATGGGCGCCGCAAATACATTATTCATTACGTCAAAGCACACGTCTCGTACACAGGAGTGTCTTCCGCTACCTAACGAGTATTTTAATATTTGTATTCTTTGCTATACCCAAGCACTCCCATGTTTTCTGAATGGATGAATCTTCTATTTCAATGTCAAGTGTTCTCGTCACGATATGGCTGAAATATTGCCGATGTGACGTTAAATAATAACTCACTCACTCACTGAATGGATGAACAAAGAAAATTAAGATTGAGGAACAACATTTAAATCCTGACTCTTAGTCAAATCATGTAAAACCATATTTCACGTAAAAATCCATTTTACATATGGCAAACAGTGAAGCTGTATAACGTAACAAATCTTATTCCTAAGTTAACTATTTATAATAAGCAAACCTCAAATTCCGTTCCAAACGAGGCTTTTGTCTTCTTCTCAAATATACACTGTTTCAGGTTATCCAGCCGCATGTTAGGTGGCACCTAGTTAGTAGGTAGGTGGCGGCAGCATCGCTGCTCCCGTCGACTTCAGTCTCAACAGAAAACACGGGTATCCCCATCTTCTTCATTGCAGAGTGGTCCGTGGGCAGAATTACTTGCGGATATGGTTTTATCTGAAAGAATGGATAGTCATCTGATTTGATGCAATAACAGGTATATATATATATATATAAAACAGAATGCCTTTTTCTCCAACACGTTTCGTTCTTTACTCTTCAGGGAGATTGTAGCGGTTACAGTATGACAACATTCTAGAGCGTCAAGGTCACAGCTTGCAATGGTTTAACATTGGTTTGTACTTGTCTATGAAGTAGTGTTCTTTTAAAATTCGTTTTATTTTGTCGAATTTTGAACCGATAAAGGGAAATATTGTAAATTTAACATCGTTTCCTTTCGCACAGACATGTAGTGCTCAGTGGGATACATCGGTTTTCAAGGACACTTTATTTGTTGTTTGTGGACCAAAAACATGATATATGCCATAACATACACAGGCTATAATTATACAATGATATATTGGTCAATCATATATATAGCCCGGGTTCGTATCCATATATACAATATATGTTGTGTCCTGAAACCCGATGTAGATAAATATAATGTTGTTCCAGCCAGTAGAAACATATACGTTTTTTGTATCTTGGAACCGGACGTTTTAAGCTATACTACGATTAAAGCCGTTTCTAATTTCCAAATATATTAATGTAAGAAGAGCATAACCTACAAGAATATACCCATTTATATTAATATTATAATCATGTTAGTTTGTTTTATATGATAAGTTTGACCCTCCCAACAGAACAACCTAACCTCGCCAACACTGTTCGGTTATAGAGCCAGAATACTCATCAAAGCACAAAGCATTGCGACCAGCATGACGTCACTCGATCTTTAGAATCATGGGGAAGGGACCTCTAGTCAGACGATAACCGAGCTCGTATGTTTGGTGCTACAGATATACTGCATATGCACATCGGGGATAGTTTGGGACCAAATTACCCTTTGATGGGGGTTCATTGATGGTGTTAAGCTCACGGTCTCGTCACGGTAAACCAGACGTAAATGAAGAATGAAAAGCAATAACTCAACGTCAAATCCAACGTCAGGCAGTGAGGAGGATTGTCAGGAGTGTTACTCGCAGTTGACTGAGGTTAACTAGATTATTTCCTTGCGCTGTTTATTTATACCTTTGATTTCCCGAGGATTGCATACCAGAACCATGAACAATACCCTCACTTGTTAACGTCACACACGACTAATGCAATCAACACGTCAACAAAATGAGTCATTTTCGCCCTGTTTGCTTCTCGTAATAAAGCTATATTTCTTGCGTTTTAGGTTCGCCAGTTAATTTTTATCCTCGAAGGTCAGATTAGCCAGAAAGTAAGTTAGTCTGAAGTTTGGACATGTTATTATTAAGTATTGAAGTAATGTTAACATATTAATTTAACCGAAATAGGTAGTGTTACGAGATATATTTTTCCACGTGTATACTATTGTTTTATCTCCTAAATAGTTTGATTTACTCTTACTTATGGCGTTAGGAAGTCCTTTTCCGATGGAACGTGTTTCTTTCGAGTCATCGATGTTTCCGTTCTCTCCTATGACAAATATTTTCATTAAGCCCGAGTAAAGTAGTGTAAGGATAATATAACAGATAATATTGATATTATTACATGTAGCATTTTCCCCTGTTTCAAATACCGGAAAGAACTGTACACACCAAACACTCAACATAATGGATGAAACACTAATAAAATTATGAAGGCGTCCTGTATAATCCTAAAAAAAATGTTCAGCAGTTACCGTTTCTTGCACATGACAATGGCCACGATAACAACGATGACTAAAAGAGCTGCAACAAACCCTCCAATAATTGCTGCAGTAGTAGTTCCCTTATCGGCGGAAAGCTTTCATGAAAACAAAACAATAACAGTGTTATTGTAACAGGTCATACTTCGTAACTAGCCAGCTAGCCCTAACTAAAAAAGTTAGCGTTATATATTTTATACCAAATTAATTTTGAATTACTGTGAAGAGACGAAGAGATGAGATCATTTTACAAAAATGAGGTTACAAATAACGAAAAGAGAAAGAATACCAATATTTAACACATCTGTAAGACTTACACAGACGTAAAGTGTATGTTTCAATAAACATAAGCCACTGCAGTTGACACGATATTCGATAAATACGTTGAGAAGTAAAAGGACAAAGTGAGTGAGTGAGTAAGTATGATATAGTAATTATGTATAATAAAAACAAGTGATTTCTGGGCGTATAATCCTTATATATATATATATATATATATAAGGATTACAATGTCTTTGAATGCAATCTCATTTGCCTTGTCAAGGTGTCGATCGACTATTTTAACACCGTTATCTTAAAGGTCACATGCAACCAAAAAACCAACCAAACATGGTAAAAACACAATTATCCTTATTCATGACATATAATATACATTGCTGATTATGAAAAACATATAAACAAAATTATAAGCGTGCAATCATGATCAAAAGTGCAATATTATTGTACTTAGGGTTACTTCCCAAGAAACGAAGCAGCCGGGATGCAGCGGGCCAGTCAGGGCGGGTGGTATGTGCACTCAAGTGTAACAGCTGGTTCATTGCAGATGCCCTCAGCCTTCGGCTAATTGTGTGTGGTATATATAGAGATGTTGGGTTTTGTAATACATGCTCATTTTTGTGTATAACATTTTGCAATCAACAGACATCATAACATGTCATGTGTTCCAGATGTATCAGACCTGCCTGTCTTTGTGAGTACATGAAAATGTGACAGGAACCGAAGCTCCAGGCCATAAATCAATGCACATTTTGTTTATGATTGTATAGCCTGATTGGTGTTAAATTCAATTGCATGTGGTCAGTGATGTGTGAATATTTGTCATTAGCGGACAGACGGGCTTTGGTGTGGCAAACAAGACATTGAGTTTTGTCTGTGACAACGAACATATCTATATGCAGTTAGAAATTCTGTGTACTAAATAATGACATTAGCAAGTATCGAACTGAAAGTGACTCGGTAAGAAGAACGTGTGGTGAAATAGACAAATGAAATTATATAAACAGGTAAATTTACTGTCATAACATATATAAAAGCTCGCGCCTGTGAGATATCAACAAAACATTAGAAAATAACCAACAAAGCCCAACTGCCGGTATTCACCGACAACCCGCTGGCTGCGCAGACCTGTTCCTGCGCACATGCTATGAGCGCAGCCAGCCTATTGACCGTTTTCCCCAGAAAGTCTGGGAAATTTAATTGAAACGTTTGAACTCCGATTTCGCGCGTTTTTCATCGGTATTTTTCAACTTTATAAGTTGAATTTGCATTTTGTTGTTTCGGTGAAAGTCCATACCGAAGGTATCAGAACCCTTCCTATCACATACTATTGTAATCGCTTGATTGTAGTGGAATTTTAGAGCCACCGTCTATACAGGTATCCCCCGTCCATCCTTCTATTAATACACCCTCTAGGACAGGCTCCTGTTATCTTGTGACACACATCGCCAGCCTGACATTGTCCGCACTGGAGGCTACAGTCCTCACCATGAGTACCATTGGAACATGCTGATTGTATACCACACAACATATGTAGTTTGGTACATAAAAGGTCAAATACATTAAAAGCAGCCACGATACGATTTTACGTAAGACGAAACTTCCATGATGACATCATGCATAATTGTTTGATTAAAAGCCGACGAATAATGTAACTGTTAGAATGTAAATGCAAGTGGTTTTTAGAGTTGAAGGTAATATGAAAACGGTCGTTGACTTGGTTGGTATTTGTTATGCAGTTATCAACATGTGCACCAAAATCCTATATTTCCCCGTCGGTGGTAAGGTAGCCTAGTGGCTAAAGCGTTCGATCGTTACGTCGAAGACTCGGGTTCGATTCCCCGCATGTGTGAAACCCGTTTCTGGTCTTATTGCTGGACTATTGCTAAAAAGCGGCCCAAAACCATACTCCCCATTCACTCACTATACATACCCGACTGACTGACTGAGTTTAGTTTTACGCCGCTTTTAGCAATATTCCAGCAATATCACAGCGGGGGACACCAGAAATGGGCTTAACACAATGTGCCCATGTAGGGAATCGAACCCGGGTCTTCGGCGTGACGAGCCAACGCTTTAACCACTAGGCTACCCCACCGCCCCATACATACCCGAAGACATTACACATAATAAACACAAAACATGATAATGGTCCACATAAACAAGTGAAGCCATTCTAAGAAAGTTGCTCGGCAGCACCATGCTTGTTGATTTCACTGATTAAAATGCATGTTATTTGGGCTTTCCTCACAGTCTCTCAATGATGATGATGATGAATCCAAGTAAGCAAATAATGTGTTCACGTTAATGCTTATTAAATTTGAAGACAAACATATTCATTATCACAACTGTCACAGGCTGGGATCAGTACTCACGTTGCAGACATAACATTGTGTCGCCATCCATCCACCCTGATGCACATCCTCCAGGACATGCTCCTGACTTCTTGTCACAGCTGACACCACTGAGGCAGTTTCCACACTCGTTGGTACAGTTAATACCATAGAAGCCATCTGGACATGCTGCAAAAGCCAAACATTTAAGCAATATCCATCAGCATGGTCTCCCTTCAATTGAACATGTTCGCAAGCAGAACCATTAAACCTTAGCCTCATTAATGAATCAAACATAATCACCTCCATGGCAGGTGTCGTCATTAATCCATCCTGCCTCACATCCCTCGTCACATGTGAAAATGAAACCAAAACTGGAACGGGCTAGATAAAGACTTTTATTTTAAAGTCATTCTTCGCATCTGTCGTAGACTAGCATCATTACTTACACAGAAGCCATAACACTGAGTTGGACATGCTCCGTTTGTCGTATCATCAGACGCATACATCTGTATACTTTAGACATATTCACCTTGATGACATGTGCCGTCATTCATCCATCCTGCTGCACATCCTCCAGGACATGTTCCCATGGTCTTGTCACAGCTGAAATCATCCAGACAGTTTCCACACTTTCAGAAGTCACAGTTGATACCGTAGGAATCATCTGGACATGCTGCACGAGGGGTACTGTTTACTGGTAGTGACGAGGGTATAGGTTGCTCGTGTACTGGTGTATGGAAATATACTTTTTATTAGTAGTGACGGGTGTACAGGTTACTGGTGTATGGAGGGATACTGTTTACTGGTAGTGACGAGGGTACAGGTTGCTCGTGGAGGTACTGTATGTATTACAGTACTGTACGAGGAGTAGTGACGGTGTACAGGTTACTGGAGGTGTGTATGGAGAGGTACCGTTTACTGGTAGTGACGAGGGTACAGGTTACTGGTGTATGGAGGGTACCGTTTACTGGTAGTGACGAGGGTACAGGTTGGTCGTGTACTGGTGTATGGAGAGGTACTGTTTACTGGTAGTGACGAGGTGTACAGGTTACTGGCGTGTATGAAGGGTATGGACTGGTAGTTTATTGGTAGTAGGTACATGTTACTGTGTTACTTACTGGTAGTGACGAGGGTTCAGGTTACTGGTGTCTGGAGGGTACTGTTTATTGGTAGTGACGAGTGTACAGGTTGTTCGTGTATGTGATGGAGGGGTACTGTTTACTGGTAGTGAAGCGTGTACATGTTACTGGTGTATGGACGGGTATTGTTTACTGGTAGTGACGAGGGTTCAGGTTACTGGTGTCTGGAGGGGTACTGTTTATTGGTAGTGACGATTGTACAGGTTGTTCGTGTACTTGTGTATGGAGGGGTACTGTTTACTGGTAGTGACAAGGGTACAGGTTACTGGTGTATTAAGGGGTACTGTTTACTGGTAGTGACGAGGGTAAAGGTTACTGTTGTAGTACAGCTATAAGTCGATTCAGACTGCTCCATCCGAGGGCCACAAACAGACTATATCAGCTTGGTTTGTTTGTTTGTTTTTTCGCACTCATCAATATTCCAGCTATATGGCGGCTGTCTGTAAGCAATCGAATATGGACCAGTCAATCCAGTGATAACAATCACGAGCATCGATCTACTCCATCAGTCGCTTCTTACGACAAGCATGTGTACCTGAAGACTAATTCTAACCCAGATCGTCACTGCTCATATCGGCTGGGAGGTGCTTAGCAAGTCATAGCATGTGTCCGGGATGTTGATCCGTTAGGAGTTGATGGAATTATGGCATCGGGGCATAGATATTTATGGGCAACAACTAATACGAGAAACACTTAACGCTATTTATTACAAGCTATCATAACGGAAGTGTAAGACATATAAATATAGTCATACTGAATATGTATGAAGCAACAAAGGTAAGATGAAAACAATATTCAAAACGCATGGAAGTGAAAGTAGACAACAACATGAAAACAACAAACAATATTGGAAAATGAAATAGTAAAATCTGCTCATGTTCATTTCCAAATTAACATGTACCCTATGGTTTCACTGAAGGAGAAATACAACAAAACGAATACGGATATTATGTAGCGTCCACTGTAGGCAGAATATATGACATTTAGACATGCAGCCAAGAAAAGTGTTTTACTCTGTTACTCAGCTATTTTCTATTTAGAACCGGGCTCTGATTGATCTCACATTTCCTGAGTGGTAATACCGGCGTTCACGTTATATTTGAGATTGCCTAGGAATCAGAAAAGGCATGACTTGTGTAACACAGACACATATTTGAAATAATGTGGCTCACCTAATGTTTATTTTACAGTTGATGATATGCTTTTCACCATTCTTTACTGGAAAATACAAAACACGTAGCCATTCATTTTCTTCTGCATGTTTAAAAGTATCTTATAAAGTAGAAAACAATGCACGAAGGATTGCCTCCAAAGTACTTGGACATGCATATGGCATTCCGCCAGTCTCCACATATACCCTTCTGAATAACCATTAACACACGTAGCCATATTAGAACTGGTGACATGTCCGTTACTGGTGTAACTTAAAAAGGATTTAGTTTCTGGATGTTTGTGCGCACATGTGTCCCGTTAAGACACAAGAAATGTGATCAACGTGTGTTTTACTTGGAATTACATATTTTCGGCAAAGTACTCTGTTTGGGTTGAGGGATTCGATTCCACACTCTCAGGTAGAGTCATGCACCTAACAGCTAGCACAAAGTCAAGGGAGAACGTGTAATTCCAAACATATGTTGCATTTGACCATATATTACATTGCATTCAAGAACATGATTGTTTCTCAAAACAGGTCATTGATCATTCCAAGACTCTGGGGAATGTAAAGCTGTTGTTTTATATCAGATTGGCGTAGACGTTGGAAGCACGGTTGTATTCCTTCACCATCTTGTAGCACAATTTGTACTGATCCTGCAAATAACATACATCGTCAGTCATCTAAGAGACATCATTAGTATGTATTACAAACCTTATTGTAGCATATGATACGCTATTGTCATCCAGTTTGAATGTGGACCATTGTTTATATAATGTATTTAAGGTTTATTGGTGTGACGGAGATTTCGCACTCAAAACCATTATCCGCCGCATTTAGCAACATTCCAGCAATATCATGGCGGGGGACACCAGAAATGGGCTTCACACATTGTACCCATGTGGGGAATCGAACCTGGCTCTTCGGCGTGATGCGTTAACCGGATATTTTGAATTTGAGAATAAATTAAGTGCTAATTAAATCTAAAATTCATATGCTTGATATGTTTCATTGATCCATTTGAAATCCACAATGTCAACTGCCAAACCGATTCTTATCTATACTATCAACGCCTAAAATGAAACAGCCAATGTACTCACAAAGGAATGTATAAACTGTGGTCTGACACGCTGCAGTTCCCTGATGGTGAGGAAGATGTCCACGTCTCTGTCCAGCCTCAGTCTGCTGATGATGTTCAGGGCACTGCAGAACACGCCGCTCACACCAGCAGCGTCACTGGTGAACAGAAACAACCACGTCATCCAAGTTGCATATCACACAACATCAAACATTCAAACATCCATTGAACCATATCCATTTAGCATGTTTCGATTTGAGGACTCTTAGTTCACTATGGTTACATCGTTGTTTCAAGTAATTTTGTATTTACACCATACTCTTGGCAATGCTTCACAACCAACAGTCCTAACTTTAAAGCTGACTTAAAAAACCGGCATACTACCTTGATGCTGAGACTAACTTGGGTTTTATCAACACTTTCCTACATTGCGCATGTCAGGTTATTTTGAATCTAGAATCATGTTCTTTGACAGAGTTTATTATCCGTCAACACACCACAGTTGTTTTCGTTGTGGTCCTACGACTTGTGATGACATTGGACCACGTTTTGGATTAACCATTTTTGATAAGCAAATTTAATCTTATCATGGTTCTAACCAGAATGAAACTAATGAGATTACATCACACAAAGGGCAATATGTCTGCAAAACACACATTTACTTCACACAATGCTCTACTAGGCAAAGGAGTTGGGGTGGTTTGGCCTCTGAGTATTACGGTGTGCCACTGTAAACAGCGATCGAAAGGAGATCGTAACGCCCATACCATAACATAGACTTAGCGCTAAAGTAGCTTCGTACAACGACACCATTAACTTTACTACTGTCAAACGAGTCGTGCGAGAACATATATATCACCAGCACAAAATACGACGAATTTCGGAGAAAACCTTCATTTCATTACGTGTATTAACAGGTGATGGGTGAGCGTACATATCTAGGTCGCTCTCAATGGAATATCGACGACGGGGACATGCACATTCCATGTACATGTATATTCCATAACTCATTTGTATATTTTGTTATTGTAATGCTCACTGAACGAAAATGCATACATGCAGTGGACGAGGATCTTATGGTCACCAGAGCTGTTGATTCTGTCCACCACGTTGATGATCTCCAAGAGGGAAGCACCATTGGACACCATGTCCAGTGACCGGAGACAGAACACTGTGACTGACCGTTCGCTGTCCTGAACAGTGACAAAAGTCGAGTGTATACTTCATGAAAGGAAAATCGCCATTTCAAATAACCATATGCCGAAATCGTATTTTCAGTAGCAAAGTATTCATATACCAATCCATTTTCAATAATAACATCCATTATGTGGCCAGTCACAATCATGTCATAGGAATGATTATATCTTAGCAGAACGTTATATGCACTAGATCATAACACAGGCAATACGATCATATCTTACGTTAACTGACTGCTTGGAAACTATGAATGAAAAACCGACCTCCTTAACATTCTCAAGCTTCATTTTTTTCTCGGTGTAGAATGCTCCTTTTGAATTGGTTTCCATGTGTGCTACACTGAATGGTCCAGTTTGTAGCATTTTGCTGTCTTTAGGGTACATCTTTCTTGTCTCCTGATAAAAACAAATGTTTGAGTGATATTAATCGTTTGAGTGAACATAAATGCATTAATACTCCTTAAAGAAACATGGCATGTCATTACACTTAACATGATTTCATACCTGAATGTAGAAACGTACAAAACAATATCCAATATATTTACCTTGGAGGCGTCCAAACAGACAACTGTGAAGCAGTCATGGTCGTACACCAGTCTCCAGAAGTCCACCACAGTGTCTGGCAGTGGAGTCTGGGTGACTATCATGGACGATGGTCGAAGGGTGGACTTAAATATATGAAACAAACAGATTATAAACAAAAAGTTCCTGTAGCCAAACCGCAATGGTGATGCAGTTTTGAAGGTTGGCATGATGTAGTTTTTGTTCTCTCAGTCTTGATTGTTCAACGTCACATGGCAAAAGAAAGCTAAAATGATTAGAGTTAACTGAATGTGGCATTCCTTTGTGATCATGTATCTTAACATTACATCTTACAACTGCTAACAAACATACCGACAGAAACACTGCATTGATGTAGTCATTCCGACCCGGAACGGGAGTACACAGGTAGGGTCTGGACCTGTTTCCTACAACAATACATGGCGTGGTGCTTCATTATCACGTTGAACGGTTCCTTAAGGAACACAACATAACTGATCATAATTGATCAGTGCTGTTTTACTCGCAGTTTTAAAGAACACTTGATTAACATGATACAACAATAGGACATCAACTCAATAAAGCAGGTCATGGAATAACTTATATCAAGAGCATGACATCTTGAGAGCGAGGTATCTATCTTCAAATTTGGAATTTTAATTTGGTGTTTTATGCCGAAATATTAACGGTAGCAAAGCATTGATGTGTCTCTGAGAAATTTTCCTTCATGTGAAGTAGATTAAGAAGATGAATGTAACTCTTTGTTGATATGCCCTGCTTATACAGAACTTCGAGATGTTATGCTAAACCATTTAAGTACATATGGTATCTTTTAGCAATAACCTGAACAAAATAAACTGAACACAATCAGTGTAATTGTATTTCTAATGAATATGAAATGAGAGTAACGTTTTTAACAAATAGAAAATGATGTTCTAAAATCGAATCTGTGTCCAGATATATCGCTTAACAAGTAGATGCTGTACATTTGCGGGGTTGTTTCCATTTGACGAGCTACATGTAATCAATTAAGTCTGGCAGTGCTCTATAGTTTGACAATAATGCCTTCACACCAGTTTGGAGTATGTATATGTATATGGACCTGTGGCATTCATACATGTACGTAGTAAACATTTGATCATGATGTTTGTTCGTGTTGAAAAATCAGTTGTGTTAGAATGTACATATTTCAAGAAGTTTATACCTGGGAGAACATACTGGCTCCTATTTTTGATTGAGTTCTCCGGAAGCAGTGCCTCTGATGTCAAATCTTCTTTGAGTTCAGAAATTTGTTCTTGGAGCATCTGAAGAAATATAACACGTGATTTGTGTTACGGCATGGTTGGCATGTTTTGATTGCCTCACGCAACTGTTGTTCCTTACAAAAATGAATAAACAATCAACTCGACAATAAGTTTCAAAGGAAAGGCAGAACAACTATATATCAATATTCACATACTCGAAACTGTTCTCTCAGCATGTCCTCTTGAGCTGTTGAGAACGTTTCGCCAACACCAAATGTTTTGTCAAACTCAGACGAGGTGTAGAGTGTTCCTTGGCTGATGAGAGCCTCCAAGACTACGTCATGCACAAACACATACTGGCTCTGCAACCAACATATGTATACTATGAATAAGACTTTATAGATACTGACCAAACACAAAATATCCAGGAGTTAACTTTGTCAGAATGCAGATCTTAACTTAAACGCGTTATCTTTTAAAAGACTCACATACTCCGAAGATGTAATATGATTTTATGTACGCTTAGCAGACTTCTTCATCGGAATCAGCCGAAAACATTTAGAATTTTGAAGCATTCTGTCTAAACTAATATAATGGTTAGGGATGTGAAGTGAAATATTTCACACTCACTCAAGCACTCACCAGTGTCTGGACCATGTTCATCCTGTTCTGCCTCATCTTGCTGACACACATGAACACGTTGACGCTGTGTTTACTCTCAGCTTCGTCCATCAGGTAGTCCAGGGCAATGAATGCTCCTGTTCGACCAACTCCAGCGCTGAGCAAAACAAAATCACTGAATTCATTTTTCGTAAATAATTACTCAATCAAGTTAACTCTGAGGCAACCTCCGTTTCAGCTATTCCATTGTCATAAGCGTCTTGTTGGCGTCAAAAGTAAATGATCGTCCACCTGCGATGTAATACAACGAGTTCTTACTAAGTGGCAAGATACACCATTTGGTAATTGCGCCAACAGGTACTTGTTATGGCATACGCATCCTATAATGGCATACGCATCCTATAATGCCATAAGGACTTGTTACTTGACACCAAAGAGTTCACCTACGCAATAGCTAATACGGCCTACACCAGCACTAAATGAGACATTCTGCTTCTAAGAAAACAGAGTGATACAAATATGTGCTAGGTTGTTACATGTTGTATTTGACTTCGCCAGGTATTGTGTACATGGAACAAAATGCATCTACCTCCAGGCATACACTCTGACAAGTTTTAATTGCAAGAATCGGTAGAATACAAACATTTGTCCACTGGTTCATTCATGTAAAATATGTTCATGTGAACATTGTTGTCAGGGCCCCTGTTACCTGCAGTGCACCACCATGGGTCCCCTGTCCATGTCCCCATGTTTGACCAGTCTCCAGAAGTTGACGAGGGCAGGAGCAGAAGGAACACCATGGTCAGGCCAAGATGTGAAGTGGTAGTGCGTCACAGTCTTCACGGTACCCTGTAAGACCAAGGCTAAAACGTTCTATCTGTAGAATGTCATAATGTTAAACCACTTAGTCGGAATGTTACCCCTGTACATATTAGCTGACACGTGTGGTTAAAATCTGGTAACACAATGCTCTGATAGTATGTATTCTTTACATAAACTACAGAACTGTATATACTTACGTTGTTCTGTACAACGAAAGTGGTGACTGTGTAGTCAGCCCTCGATGTCACAGTTTTGTTTGTAACCTTATAGCATCCGTAGGTTTCAGATTTGCTTTCATCGGGCCAGTATCTTTCACACTTTTTCTGGCAATAGATACAAAAAGGGAACCATTAGCATAATTTATGACCATGAAGGTCATGTTAATGTGTCAAGGGCACAATAAATTATGTTCTTTGAAGCACATCCTACCTTGTTCACCTCCATCAGCTTCGTCAGCATGACTATCTGTGTGACGTCCTCCTGCCACACCATCCGCCAGAAGTCAGTGATTGTCGTCGGTCTGGGTCCTTGATGGAACACAGTACTATTAAGAACCTCTTCTCAAGAAAATACGACGATTTACTCACTTTCCCGTTTACTTATACCATATATCATTTGGCTGAATAAAATTAAAAAGCACAATAATCAGCGTTTAAAATTCCCGCATGCCCGACCGTCCGGAACGGTCTATGTTTATCTCGGACGGTCAAATTTCAAAAGTAGCCTGTCCGGTGGTCTGGTAGATATTTTTCTGGTCTTGATTGGTTTAGTTTGTAAAACAGGCCATGTACCTTAGGCTTAACGTTACAATACATGCAGTAAAGTATTCAGAAACTTGGTTTTATTTTTTTTTTATATTTTTGAAAACCGGACAGGCAAGTTTGTATCCGGACTGGTAATTTTTTAAAGTTACCAGTCCGGCTGTCTGGCTTGGAATTTTGGGAGTTTTCAACACTGCAATAATGTAAGTATATATAAACATATAGTACGTACCTTGTGTTGCTATATACTTTGCAGTATCATCATATCCCTGCCAAAAGACATACTTATTTACTTTTTATTCAAATAAGTAAAAGATTTATAAATGTAATTATGTGTCACCTTTATTTCAAAATTCACAGTAAGCCCATCAAATTGATATTGGATATTTGATCTAGTTGACCTTTACCCTACTCACCATGATGTAATTGGCATTAATGTAATCTTCTCCATCCGCCAGCACAACCCTCGAATCATCATCTGATTGAAGATAAAACTAAAATATCTGAGCATACTTGGATTGTTTCAAATGGATTCTTACTTAGTGAAACGTTAAAAACGAATTCTGCAAAAGTGAGATCATTTTTTGGTCCATAAGCAAATTCGACTCCTTGGTGGACCGATGATGATAGACTGGGCCACTTATGGTTTTGAACAAATAGGGGATATGTTCCGATAGAAAACAAGACCCCCTGAGTACAATTGCAATCAAGTGATATCGATCAGTATCTCGCATATGGAAGGTAACACGTACTTTGATCTATTTTACAGTATGAACAGTATGATGTAATGTGGGTCAGCCTATTTCATTATGTTAATGACAGACAGTCACCGAATACAAGTATTTATCCTGAAAATATTAGATCAATGTCTCATTGCTTATCACCAAAGCATTTGCTCTGCTTTATTATTCAAATCCCTTTTATTCAATAATTCTTAGCCTCTGAACTTGCGATATTGAATTAATAGGCGTACGAAGAATACTGATTAAGTAAATGATAAAAAGGAAAATAGACCAACCGTATACTAATGATGTTGTTTAGCAATGTTCCAGCTTTATGGCGGCGGTCTGAAACTAAACGAGTCTTGACCACATAATCCAGTGATTGACATCATGAGCATCAACCTGCACAATTGAGATACGATGACATGTGTCAACCAAGTCAGCGGGCCTGTCCATTCGATCCTGTTAGTGCCCCTTACGACAAGTATGGTATTGTGAAGATCGATTCGAACCCGGATCTTCACTTGTTGTATTCTAATTTGTTTATGCGTTTAGTAACAAACACAGCGTAACAACCACATACTTACACGCATACAGAGCAAGGAAACGGTTCTTCGGTTTGTTGTTAGGTTTTATAGCGGCTTCATGTGGATGTCTTGCACCATATGGGATCATCTGCATCACATATGGGCATGCAATACATTATTCATTATGCAAAACAAGACGACGTCTCGTACACAGGAGGTTCCTCTCCGCTACCTAACGGGTATTTTAATATTTGTATTCTTTGATGTACCCAAGCTCTCCCATGTTTTCTGAATAGATGAACAAAGAAACTTAAGATTGAGGAACAACATTCAAATCCTGAATCTTAGTCAAATCATGTAAAACCAAATTTCACGCAAAATTCATTTTACATATGGCAAACAGTGAAGCTGTATAACGTAACAAATCTTATTCCTACGTTAACTATTTATAATAAGCAAACCTCAAATTCCGTTCCAAACGAGGCTTTTGCCATCTTCTCAATTATACACTGTTTCAGGTTATCCAGCCGCATGTTAGGTGGCACCCAGTTGTAGTAGGTGGCGGCAGCATCGTTGCCTCCGTCGACTTCAGTCTCAACAGATAACACGGCATCCTCATCTTCTTCCATTGCAGGTGGTCCGTGGGTAGAATTACTCGTGGATGGTTTATCTGAAAGAATGGATAGTCATCTGATTTGATCACAATATATATATATTTCATAGATAAATAAAAACAGAATGCCTTTTTCTCCAACACGTTTCGTTCTTTACTCTTCAGGGAGATTGTAGCGGTTACAGTATTACATCATAATAGGTTACAGTATGACAACATTCTAGAGCGTCAAGGTCACAGCTTGCAATGGTTTAACATTGGTTTGTACTTGTCTATGAAGTAGTGTTCTTTTAAAATTCGTTTTATTTTGTCCGAATTTTGAACTTGATAAAAAGGAAATATTGTAAATTTAACATCGTTTCCTTTCGCACAGACATGTAGATGTTCACTCAGTGGGATACATCGGGTTTCAGGACACTTTATTTGTTGTTTGTGGACAAAAACATGATATATGCCATAACATACAGGCTGTAATGAACAGTATATTGGTCAATCAGAAAATTTAAGAGCCCGGTTCGTGTCCACAAACAACAAATACGTTTTTTTGTATCTTGGAACCGGACGTTTTAGCTTATACTACGGTAAAGCTGCTTCTAATTTCCAAATATATTAATGTAAAAGAGTATAATTCACAAGAATATAACCATTTATATTAATATTATAATCATGTTAGTTTGTTTATATGATAAGTTTGACCCTCCCAACAGAACAATCTAAATTCGCCTACAATTGGCCGGTTATACAGCCAGAATACTCATCAAAGCACAAAGCATTGCGACCAGCATGACGTCACTGGATCTTTAGATCATGGGGAAGGGACCTCTAGTCAGACGATAGCCGAGCTCGTGTTTGGTGCCACAGATATACTGCATATGCACACGGGGATAGTTTGGACCAAGTACCCTTTGATGGGGGGTTCATTGATGGTGTTGGGTGCCTCTCACGTCACGGTAAACCAGACGTAAATGAAGAATGAAACGCAATAACTCAGCGTCAAATCCAACGTCAGGCAGTGAGAAGGATTGTCAGGAGTGTTACTGCAGTTTGCTGAGGTTAACCAGACATTTCCTTGCGCTATTTATTTATACCTTTGATTTCCCGAGGATTGCATACCAGAACCATGAACAATACCTCACTTGTTAACGTCACACGACCAATGCAATCAGCACGTCAACAAAATGAATCATTTTTCGCCCTGTTTGCTTCTCGTAATAAACTTTATTTCTTGCGTTTAGGTTTGCCAGTTAATTCTACCCCGAAGGTCAGATTAGCCAGAAAGTAAGTTAGTTTGAAGTTTGGATACGTTAGTATTGCTATTGGTAATGTTAACATATTGGTACAACCGAAATAGGTAGTGTTGCGATATATTTTTCCACGTGTATACTATTGTTTTATCTCCTAAATAGTTTGATTTTACCTTTACTTGCGGCGTTAGGAAGTCCTTCCGATGGAACGTGTTCTCTCGAGTCATCGTGTTTCCGTTCTCTCCTATGACAAATATTTTCATTAAACCCGAGTAAAGTAGTAAGGATAATATAACAGATAATATTATTATTATTATGTAGCATTTTCCCCTTGTTTCAAATGGGAAAGAACTGTACACACCAAACACCCAACATAATGGATAAAACATTTATTCTAATAAATCTATGAGCGTCTATATAAAAAAGTTCAACAGTTACCGTTTCTTGCAAATGACAATGGCCACGATAACAACGATGACTAAAAGAGCTGCAACAGACCCTCCAATAATTGCTGCAGTAGTTCCCTTATCGGCGGAAGCTTTCATGAAAACAAAACAATAACAGTGTTATTGTAACAGGTTACAATTTCGTAACTAGCTAGCTAGCTAGCTAAAAGTTATATTTTCTATACCAAATTATCTTTAAATTACTGTGAAGAGACGAAGAGATGATCATTTTACAAAAATGAGGTTACAAATAACGAAAAGAGAAAGATAAATTAATATTTAACACATCTGTAAGACTTACACAGACGTAAAGTGTATGTTTCACAACATAAGCCACTGCAGTTGACACGATATTCGATAAATACGTTAGTTAAGGACAAAGTGAGTAAGTGAATAAGAATGGTATGGTAAGTATGTATAATAAAAAACAAGTGATTTCTGCAGGTGTATAATCCTTATATATATATAAGGATTACGAAAAAACAATATTTAGAATGCAATCTCATTTGCCTTGTCAAGGTGTCATTCGACTATTTTAACACCGTTATCTTAACTTCCTATCACATACTATTGTAATCGCTTGATTGTAGTGGAATTTAGAGCTTACCGTCTATACAGGTATCCCCCGTCCATCCTTCTACACACCCTCTAGGACAGGCTCCTGTTATCTTGTGACACACATCGCCAGCCTGACATTGTCCGCACTGGAGGCTACAGTCCTCACCATGAGTACCATTGGAACATGCTGATTGTATACCACACAACATATGTAGTTTGGTACATAAAAGGTCAAATACATTAAAAGCAGCCACGATACGATTTTACGTAAGACGAAACTTCCATGATGACATCATGCATAATTGTTTGATTAAAAGCCGACGAATAATGTAACTGTTAGAATGTAAATGCAAGTGGTTTTTTAGAGTTGAAGGTAATATGAAAACGGTCGTTGACTTGGTTGGTATTTGTTATGCAGTTATCAACATGTGCACCAAAATCCTATATTTCCCCGTCGGTGGTGGGGTAGCCTAGTGGCTAAAGCGTTCGATCGTTACGTCGAAGACTCGGGTTCGATTCCCCGCATGTGTGAAACCCGTTTCTGGTCTTATTGCTGGACTATTGCTAAAAAGCGGCCCAAAACCATACTCCCCAAAACCATACTCCCCGCTTTTATTTCACTCACTATACATACCCGAAGACATTACCCCACCGCCCCATACATAATAACACACAAAACATGATAATGGTCCACATAAACAAGTGAATCCATTCTAAGAAAGTTGCTCGGCAGCACCATGCTCGTTGATTTCACTGATTAAAATGCATGCTATTTGGGCTTTCCTCACAGTCTCTCGGTGATGATGATGATGAATCCAAGTAAGCAAATAATGTGTTCACATTAATGCTCATTGAATTTTAAGACAAATATATTCATTATCACAACTGTCACAGGCTGGGATCATTACTCACGTTGCAGACATAACATTGTGTCGCCATCCATCCACCCTGATGCACATCCTCCAGGACATGCTCCTGACTTCTTGTCACAGCTGACACCACTGAGGCAGTTTCCACACTCGTTGGTACAGTTAATACCATAGAAGCCATCTGGACATGCTGCAGAAGCCAAACATTTAAGCAATATCCATCAGCATGGTCTCCCTTCAATTGAACATGTTCGCAAGCAGAACCATTAAACCTTAGCCTCATTAATGAATCAAACATAATCACCTCCATGGCAGGTGTCGTCATTAATCCATCCTACCTCACATCCCTCGTCACATGTGAAAATGAAACCAAAACTGGAACGGGCTAGATAAAGACTTTTATTTTAAAGTCATTCTTCGCATCTGTCGTAGACTAGCATCATTACTTACACAGAAGCCATAACACTGAGTTGGACATGCTCCGTTTGTCGTATCATCAGACGCATACATCTGTATACTTTAGACATATTCACCTTGATGACATGTGCCGTCATTCATCCATCCTGCTGCACATCCTCCAGGACATGTTCCCATGGTCTTGTCACAGCTGAAATCATCCAGACAGTTTCCACACTGGGAGTCACAGTTGATACCGTAGGAATCATCTGGACATGCTGCACAAACATGAAACAAAAAAGTTAAAACTAAAGGCTGATGAATAAAAAACTGGAACGTCTGCAAACACATACGTATTAAGCTTCAGTTTCACATCAATGATCAGCTGTCATATGCCATCAAACATATTCACCTTCATGACAGGTGTTGGTCGTCAATCCTGCTGCACATCCTTCAGGACAGGTGCCCGTAGTCTTGTTACAGATGACACCATCACTGCAGTTTCCACACTGGTTGGTACAGTTGATACCATAGGAACCATTTGGACACGCTGATCCCAAAATAGCAAGAAAAATATTAAACTCTGTCACTACGTACGGGTATCATTCAATTGAGAAAGACAGAAAGACATCACACTCATATCAAATCCAGAAACAGACAAATTCACCTTCATGACAGGTGTCATTCATCCATCCTGCTGCACATCCGTCGTCACATGTTCCCGTAGTCTTGTTACAGGTGACACCATTGAGGCAGTTTCCACACTGGCCAGAACAGTTGACATGATAGGAACCATCCGGACATGCTTCAGAAACAAATGGTAAAACCTGTCATTATAGGGAGATGGCAGTACGACTGAAACATTCTGGAAGCACAACACACATTAAATTTCAGTTTCACATAAAGGAACTGTTGTCACGTGTTATCAGAAAAAGTAACCTTGATGACAGGTGTCATTCATCCATCCTGCTACACATCCTCCTGGACAGGTTCCCGTAGTCTTGTTACAGATGACACCATGAAGGCAGTTTCCACACTGTCCAGAACAGTTGACACCATAGGAACCATCTAGACATGCTGCACAAACAAATACAATCATCCCGAACTGTATCAATATGGACAATTACCACAGAGCTCATTTAGACATTACGACAATGCAAGTATGGAAAATGCTAGTCACCTGGAGAGTTGATGCAATCATCATGCAATTTAAATCAAGGACATATTGATCAAGAGAAAATGTGTATATATCTCGTGGTTTGGCAGAATATGGATGTGCTGTAGTTCACATGTTTTTACTTTTTCATAACAAAGGGAATGTGTGGAGATGCTCGCTATAGAGCAGGACATAATTGTCCTCCACGCGAACTCCAGGTGGTATCACTAATCTTCAGTGATTTATTCTTATACTTGTCACTGCTTCTTCGCCTGTTTCAAAATTGAGAGTAATTTCGTGCATTACATCGCATAACCAATGAGGTTTTACGTTCCACATATGCAGGGCGCTGTATGTCTCTTGTATATACAATTCACCAGAGGTACGCAATCAACCATACATGATAAACCTTTTAGCCCTCCAGGCAGCAAATATCAATTCAGACATGATCAGTCTGCCCAATAATTCTTTTACCGCTTTCACTGTGCAGCATGTTTTGGCCAACTCTGTACTCACTTTACAACTTGAAATGAAATTGTTAGGCACTGTATATTTGTAACTGTTCTTCACATTGCCATACTAGCCACCTGTATTGAAACAGTTATCACTATGAATGATGTGATCAGTGGCAGTGAGGTATGTTCGGTTACACACACACCAATAACTTATCTATTTCCTTCCGCTGAACTTTTGTGTATGTTATAGATATATGGTGGTATTTAGCTGAGTCATGCAATTGTATGTATGAAATAGGTTGTTGAATGCGAGACAAAGAACAACTTACTCTTTAAAGGAATAAGCAATATACTGTATAATATGTGTTTCTACTAACTTTCAGGAATACTGTACCCTCCTTGGGTGTATGAGGCATATACACCTAATTACAGAATAAATGTTTCAAAGATTATTCAAATTCCCGTTTAGACTCATTCCGCGAAACGTCTACATTACGCGATGGTATGTATCAAATATACACCGTGTAATTGTAATATTCACGCAAAACAATTGTATTGGTAGAATTTACGAATTTACTTTCACTATTTAGTTTGTCGTTTTGTTTCTTTTTGCCCCGAGACACATCTGTTTGAACATTTACATATTATAGTCACTATGCAGAGATACTCATGCAAGAATATAACTATACACATAGCACATGGTATGTGAGGTCTTTATCGATCTTAAGTTTCAAACCATACCCGTTTGGCAGTCGGTACCATTATATCCAGGGAAACACCCACTAGAACAGTGACCAGTGATCTTGTCACATACATCAGTTCTGTTAGCGCACCGGCACTGTTTGTCACAATCTTCAGAAAACCATCCGTCACTGCAAACTGAACATAATTACACAACATTTATCATTATTTGAGCGGTATTAAAGAAACGATGTAAACTGTGAATAATATCTGGTCGCCGTTAATCAGTGTTCGGAGAAGTAAATTACAGGAAGTATGTACTGACTCTTATGGAAATCGATTCCTACTGTTGAAATTTGGACATCTAGCTTCCCTATTAGGGGACATAATTTGCACACATATCATGATCAGTGTCCAGTTATTTCGTTACATACCAAATATCTGTACTTCGCACAAAGTAAGGAATTTCAGTTGACCAGATATCCGTATAGTGACCGTGGTTCCTGTCAGTGGCTGGCGGCAGGTGACGTTAGCTATAGGAGGAGGATGTTCAGTTGATGACCAGTTGTAGCACATCTGGCTGCCCACAAGTATCTCCATGCCGTTGCTTCGTTCTTGAACTGTACAGGATGAAGATCGATATGATACATAGAGAGCTTCATCCGTTTGCCCATTGATATCATCTCCAGAAAAAATCATCCATAAACGTTTAACAGACCGAAACATGATACCATATATTTTTAATATTATTCTTCCATTTCATGGAAACAGTAATAAACAGCGTCCTGTGTGTAAACATTACAGCTAACATGCTTCAGTGTCCACGAAGACATTACACATAATAATGGTATGAATTATGCTGGCAACACATTATGCAACAAGATAGATAATTATCACGTCCTTGCATTTGGTAATATTACCATTTGTACTTAGTTCATATTTGAATGTACTCACAGTCGTCACGCAGATAGAGTCTGATGTGTTGTATCTTCTCTGGAACTGACGTGTTCAGGTTCACAGTCCAGCTGGGACTTGTTTCATTCTTTGTATGAGCACATGTCTGCGGCGTGCTCTTGGCAACTGTAGTAGCTCTGCCGTCTACACCAAGTGCTGCTTTGAAGAGATCTTTTATATCGAGTAATATACTACTCTGGTAACACGATCTTCCTAGCGCAATATTTTCTGAAAAGATGAACACAGAAACACTAGAAGTGGTGTAAGCGTGGTCATAAGATTATCGATACCCATCTACGTCATACTCACGTTTCTGACAGTATGGACCAAACCATCCCTCCTGACACATGTCCTGACCATCCATATGACTACACGGAGTTGAGGGGAACTTGTCACAAAGATCTGTGGTATTACAGTGGCATTCTGCATCTGTTAATGAAAAGTGCATTCAGTTTCAGATGAATAGTAGTTTTCGGTACTCGTTCATTCACGAATTTATATGAAAGGACAATTTTGATGGATTCTGATATCTGTTTATAAAACAAGTCAACATGCCATGAGGCACACATCTGTACCCATTTCACAGATGTGAACAGTCTACATACCCGTAAAGCTCACAGTGATACAGACCACAAGAACTCCCATCAAGAGCCAACCCATGTCGGACACCTAGATAAAGTAGACAAACAGAAGATTAGACAAACTTTCAAATCCTGATCTTTACCCCAAAATATGACAGGCCATTAAAAGCTGACAAAGTCAACAGGCGAGTTTTTAAGTTCTTTAATCTCCGAATTTGAAATACACATACGATGTTTCAGTCAGAAACCTGTAATGAAATCAAGTTTTTAAAACATTTTTATTGAATTAAAATGAAAACTATATCTTAAAAAAACATAGGTAAAGTGATCATGAGTTGATGATAAATATTGTCAGTATGTTGGATGGGCGACCTACTTTGTGGTTACACGATTAAGAAGTGACCTCAAATTGCATCTTTCACATGATCTGATGTCACACGGCTCTGCGGCCTCTAATAAGTCCCAAAAATCAAAATGCTAAATGTATTGAGGGATGTTTTCAAGGTATCAGAAGCAAAATGTTTGTGCCTTAAACGGTAATCACAATCGGACACAAAGAATGAGAGCTACACATATGTGTTGAAAATAGATACTGGACATATCCGTACATATGAATTCATCTTATGAAACAAATACAATTTATCACACATGTGCTCATAAAAAACAATGTATCATTATAATTTTGACTTTACATGTAAGGTGCAAGTTCAATCTTTCTAACGAATTTCGGTGGTACTAGTCTTCCCAGGGTGTTGCATTTGACAATGCTAACTGGAAAACACTGATCGGGGAACAAATACACTGTAGCTGAGCATTGAGCAGTATCTGGATAAGAGCTATAATATTTCGTAATCATAATGAGTAAATTACACTTGGATGAGTAGGCTTGAACATCGACGTTGCTCTTTCTGAAAGAGACGAAAACATATTCCTGCCTACGTAGAAGTTTGCGGAATCGAGACTCACTATGTCAAGATGCATTGCCATCGCATGAATACGAAGAGTAAATATAGGATAATGAAAACGACGTCATTATGTATAGTTACTGCACTCATTCCCGGTAGGTCCCACCGAAAACAAACTGAGTTTCTATGCTACATGACAGCATTTGATAGCCGCAACCCAAATGTTCTGTTTTGAACTAATGGTAATCCAAGCACATGATCGTCAGATCTCAGTATTATTATTATGTTTTACAGATTAAACTATATTATGCAGCAGAGAGGGTTCGGATGATCCTTTCACAGTCAGGCCGGTAAGGCTCACAATCAGCTCAGGTCCCTTGACACGCAGCCCAGACAGCAAGTGGGACTTCTAGGAAACGCTGCAAAGTCGAATCACCAAGAACTTTCGGGGGAATATGTAGACTCCGCAACACTATGCACAACCTTCTGCCTTACCCAGAGTATCCCAAGGGTTGTGCTGCTGTTGGAGAAACTCGGGCATTCTCCTGATATGAGCCAAAAGATCAGGAGGTACCAAACCATGGGCACAGAACACAATGTACATGGGATTTTTTTTATAACAACAGGATATTTATATTGCGCACATATCCACGCAACTAGTACACGCTCAATGCGCTGGAAATATATTAGCCCGGATAACTCAAGCTGCCTGTGAGGTAGGATTATGGTCACATGACTTTATCCCACTGGGTACCCCTAATCTGCTGGGTGAACAGGGGCAGTGTTGAACAAACTCCCCTACTTAAGGTGGGGCCACATGTATTACACGTGCTACGTTGTGGGGCAGGACTGAAGTACTATAAACTCTTAGGACTCAAGCTGCCAAACACGTTAACCCATCCATGGACTCCGCGCCCAACGTTGCTTAACTTCAGCTGATTATGCATAGGACCACACACCACCACCGTATACCTCAAAGAAAAGGGAGGTGGGGTAGCCTAGTGGTTAACGCGTTCGCTCGTCACGCTGAAGACCCGGGTTCGATTCCCCATATGGGCACAATGTGTGAAGCCCATTTCTGGTGTCCACGGCCGTGATATTGCTGAAATGTTGCTAGAAAGCGCCGTAAAACTAAACTCACTAACTCTAATTGTTAAGTCGAATAATATATCGAAAAAATCTTGATATTGTTAATGGTGGAAACTTGTTTCGCAAGACATTAAACACATGAATGGAATGAGGTCACAGATATCCAGTCAAACTACAAAGTGGATAACCTTATATGACACACTCGATGCCCATATCACACAACCTCATATATACTTGAGCAATTCACAGGTGCTGTTTTGAATCTAGATGAATGAAGAACTAACAATCAGACTATTTTTAACTAACTTATATTATTAGTACTTATCTCTGGGGATGGGTACAAAGTGTACAGTCTATAACAAAAAGCGACCTAAAACCATATTGTACTTGTACCCCAGGCATTAAATTATATAACATACTATATGAATACAGCCCATTAGTCGGTAATGTTGGTATTATTTGTTTGTTTGTTGTTTAACGTCACACTCAGCAATTTTCCATCTCTATGACGGCGGTCTGTAAATAACTGAGTCTAAACAGACAATAAAGTGTTTAACATCATGACCATCGATCTACGCAATTGGGATACACTGACCACCCGATCCTATTAGTCGTCTCTTACATGGGTTGCTGAAGACAAATTCTAACCCGGATCTTGAAGTTGCCATTCATATACTCGTCTTAGACAACTTGAAGGCTGAAGACGATAATTTGCAAATGGCCGCTGTACCGTTTTTGCTACAAAATGACCTTATCAATTCGATAATACAAGACCGCACATCGCCTGGGCTGTACAGCAGTAACGTAATCAAATCAATGATAATGCGTTACCCTGTCCCGCTAGATCCCCTGATTTGTCACCCATTGAACATGTCTGGGATGAAAAGGGGCGTCGTTTACGACGTCTTTCGAAACATCCAACAACACTATAGTCAATCCTCCTTCGGATATGGAATGATCGTCACCTGGACTTTCACTGACAGTTAGTGACCTCATTGAGGCTGCATCAAAGATGAAGGTAAACAACTTGCATGTGAACCTCCATGCCAGATGCATGTTTCTTATGAACGGTTGGCCGTTACCATACCTGGAAACATTTGTCTTTTCTTGTAAAAAAACCCCCATTTCATTCGAAACAGTAAATGTTAAGCTCCGATTTTTTTTCTAACACTAACTTTTGCATTTGTGTATACTGCCCCAGAATCCCGGGACATAATGTGAAGTCGTTCCTTTAAAGGAGTGACATTTTCAATTTGTTTTGATCGTGATTGTGTCACTTTGCTTTACAAGACAGATATTAAAATGATTCTGCAAGATAATACATTTGTGACGTTTCCTACAAAAATCTCCATTTTCCGTCCATGCTTGTCTTTCTTTGTAATACAGTATAAGGAAAAACGCGAACATCAAATCTAGTCTGTGTACATAGTTTAACCTTGTTTGACAGTGAACATCAGTGATAACATACGAGCGGCATGCAGGATGTTTATAAACAGTTCAGAGAGTAAACATTGTTTTGTTTGCAGACAGAATTTACATTTCGCAAGACTGTTTGACAAGTACACACATGTCATTGTATACATCACGTTTGTTCAAACAATATGTGACACCTATCCATTCATGAGATCATTGAAGCTGTTCCTGGCGGACTTCAATAAGGAAGTTGGCG